CGAAGTGAAGTCTGTGCATTTCCCCGAACTTCAGGTCTGGGCACTTACTGCACAATATCATGTCAGGACAAACCCAAACTGACAGCACGAGAAGGAGACACATGTTTGCAGGTCATAAAAGTAATTCACGACATTTAACAGCAAGTCCGCTTTGCTGGGATCAGTGCTGATGATGATGCAGTTTTCAAGGAAATCCAGTATAAGACTGCAACATTCTGGTAAAAGAGAAGTCTTATTTTTTGAGCAGCAATACAAAGAACAGCATATAACCAAAGATTAGCTAAACGTTTTTGTAATTACGATATGTTGAACAACTGCAAATTTGAAAATCTGCAGATTCGTGGGTCACTTAAGAACCTGCTACCTTACGTTTCTTTCAAAAATAATAGCTAATAATAATAAAAAAGGAGGGTGTTCCAGATGGGCTCAGGATTTGGCAATAATCAGCCAGAATGAGGTGACTGCATCAAGCATTTATCCAGGTGAAAGCACATAAAAGAAGCCAAGTATGGATAACTACTCACGAGGTGATACCTGCCGATCTGGGCCCGAACATCCTCTCGAGCTGCAGAGCAGAGCAGAGAGCTGCTGCCCGGCTCCCACGGAGACAGCGCAGGCCTCAGAGTCAGGAGTTTCTTCTTCCCCCGCTCGCTCCTCACTGTCCTCTCTGTGCCCGGTGCATCCTGGCACGTAGGGTCAGTCCAACCCAGGAGGCAGCCCGGGGGGCGGACAAACTCGAGTTGCGCAGGTGCGCTCACCGGTCGGGGGTCCCAGCCCTCCATTTGAGGGTCCTGCCTTCCTCCTCTTCTTCCTCATTCCCAGGTGTTTGACCTCCAAAGCTGGTTTGGAGGACGTCTGCGGTTCAGTTGGCTACAAGGCCGGCCGAGCAGCCGCTTCAACAGGTTTCCGGGGGGCTGCCTGTGAACCGGGCTGAGCAGCTGCATCCCTGCTCCTCATCACTCAGCCTAGGCAGGGAAACATCTTCTTTCCCAAGGTCTGGCCTCTGCTTCCCACAAGAGATAAGCCACCTGGGCAGGGTCCTGGGCAACCTGCTTTAACTGACGCTGCTTGAGCAGCTTGGACTATGTGGTTCCTAAAGGTCCCTTCTAACCTCAACCATTCTGTAGTTAGGTGAGAATAAACTAAAATGATGTGGGTTTTTTGAATAAACAACAAGTAAACATAACTAGAAACTGTCGTGTCTGTGTGAGGGAAATCAAGGACCAGAAATCTTTGATCAGAAGTGACAGAAATCTTTCTGTGAATTGAAATTAACAAGTTGAGATTTTTTGTTTGTTTTTACACATTTGGAAAAGATGTCTCTCCTGGCTTGTCTTGTTTCCAGCCACTTCATTGGGAAATGCAATATTGAAATACTACATGTTAAATAGATTCCAAAACAAGTTTCGAATAAGTTGAATGTTTGTGAAGAGACACCAGCACAAGACGGAAAATAAAACATGTATTTAAAATCCACAACTCTGTACGCTCTGAAGCTCAGATTTTTGTGATCCCTATGGATAATAAAATGGGGGGAATTAGCTCAAATGGTAGAGCGCTCGCTTAGCATGCGAGAGGTAGCGGGATCGATGCCCGCATTCTCCAGCGTTTTGTTGAAAACTGTTAAGGCTAGAAGTGGAAACCATGAAAATAGGTTATTACTTTCGGTCAAATCATCTTGTTTAATTAGAGCAAAACTGAATTCCTGCCTTCCTTGGCTTACTAAAAAAAAACGGCTTACACAACTGTCTTTGTCCCGTGTAGTAACTCTGAATCTTCCCTGCAGGTTTCAGTCAGCTTTGGCAGAACAATACAGAATTCTGCAATAAGAAGCTCTTACAGGCTTTATGAAAAACAGTGGCTGAAAGAAGCCTAGAGAACTGAAGCAGAGTGTCTGTTTCCTCACCTGTCCAACTATGGTTAAGTTTATACAATGGTGTTGGTGGAAATAATTTAAGAATGCTTGTGCTTTGCCAGCTGCACATCTGGTTCCTGTCCAGAAATATGGAATCTTCTTCTAATTAAACTTCTTGTGAAATCATATTAGAGCTGGATCAGGGAATCAACTCAAGTTTAAAGAAAAAGATGAGTCATTGTTAAAATGACCTCTAGAGGTCCCTTCCAACCTTCAGCATTCTATGTGCAAAAAAAGAGCAAAATTTTCATTGCCAAAAGTGAACCCAATCTTAAATTGCCCAGGCACATAATGATATGCAGAATAAAATGGAGGAAAAAAAAAACTAAAGAATTTCCTATGTCAGTGGTAGGGAGGATAGCATTCTGAGAGAAAGTTGTGATCTTAGGACTATGCAGCATCCAAAATCTCAAGTACTTGCTCAGCTTCAAAGCACAAAAATCCCTGTCTCTCCAAGTCCCTTTGAGGAGACAGGTCTGTCTTTGAGGCTGTGTCTGAATATACTGTCACTAGATGCTGCTTCCCTAGCAAGTTCTCTAGAAAATCCCTGTTGTTACCAATCCTAAGCTGAACATGCTTTGGAATCAAGTGACCCAGGGCTCTCCAGAGCAAACAGATTTAACATCTGCAGGAAGACCAGCAAAGACTCAAGTTCTCAGCAGGGGAATTTTGAAAGGCAAATGCTGTGTGCAGGAGTGAAGAGGGCATCTAGAGGCTACAACGAGGCTTAGGGCTCCTTAACTATCTTAAAGTGGCCTGCATTAAAAATGGAGTGTTATTGCCAGAAACAGGCTTGCTATGAAGTACCTTTGGCT